TATGGACGATGCGCAGACACGTACACAGTCACGTACTCAGAGAGAGCAATATATGTATATGAAATGTATAGAGTCTGATTATAAATCATGACGGAACTTAGAACCATTTTCTTGTAAAACAATACCTTGATTATTTACTAAGCTAAGGGTTAAGTATTACTTTACTTTTATTAGACCTTTTCTCCTGCTCGAAATGCGATAGATTTTGTAAATAATTTTGAAATCGACTATAACCGAGACATAAATTAATATGCAATCGCTTTTTAGTAAAGCTCGCCACCTACTTTTCTATTGCGGTTGTAAGACTCCAAAACACCCACCACCACTTTCAATTGATCACGTTTTCGGCCTGAACCACGACAAAATTTATATGTGATTAGCATCATAATTAGCTGCCATCAGACTCATTAACACGAGAAATTTTTCACGCCTAACCGTAAAGGACAGAAGTTCGCTAAGCAGCTCAGGGTTACAGTAAAGGCTGGATAACGCTAAAACAAGGGCAGCGTCAAATTAGCTGTGCAAACTGACCAATTGAAGTGAGTGGATGGAAATCATGCATTTGGTTTTCCAACTCATTGACTCGATAACTGCGAAGTGCGACGGAGGGCACTGCGGGGTGATGGACAATTTATTGCTGTGGTTTAAATGTTCAAATTCGTTGTACTTGTAACTTTAATTGCCTGTCAAATTTTTCACACCTCCGCTACACCGCGTCACTCACAAATACACATGAAAAAATATGAGCTTGCCTACATTTAGGCGCATTACCCGCAGCTGGCGAAAAACGAATTTGACACGCCCACATATTCGCTGAATAGCAACAACAATAACACAAATAGYATAACGCGCCGGCAGCAGCCCGACATAACTCCTCCCCCCGCGCGTCAGCCACAATTTTAATTCATTTAATTGAGCTGCCAATATTTGACMASAATGTAATTAACAAAGCGCCTTTTCGCCGTGTGGTGTGGTGCCTGCTGTATTGACAGTTATTGCGCCAGTATTTATATTTATCTTTGCAGTTTCGTATTTAWATTCTTCGCTGTTTACCAACACTGGCCAAGCGCGTTCGCGAATTCGTTGCTGCGCCTAGTTAGTACCCCGCCTCTGCGACTAATATTCGCAATTGGTTTCGGCTTATTTGCTTAATTGGTGGCGATTTAAATTTTCTCTGCGATTTTCTATCTATTTATTGTTATTTGATTTTCAAAAACTTCTAAATGAGTCTGAATTGAATGAATGTACATTGTTTGCGCTATTTGTGGTTGAAAACAACTGAGCTGCAACTTTATAATACACTTCTCGTATCACATTTTTATATAATAGTTTATAATATTTTTTAAAAAATTTATTTAAACAATAACTTTTTTTTTAAATATTTATTATAAATATTTTCCATCAAAACCGATAATTGTCAACTCGGTAACATTCCTTAAAATTATTTCGAACTTTTTAGGACTTCACCATAAATATTATCTGCGAATGAAGGTGTCCGAACAAGGACACGCCAAAATTCTCTATTCCTTCAACTACATTCTTGAGAACTAGGATCATTCCGTCGCAGATGCTACTCTTGGCTCGACGAGAGATATGTGGATCGGGAAAAGTCGCGGGAGAAGAGATTCATTGAGCCTTCTTGCAGATGGATGAAAAGTAGGAAGCGAAGTTTTTTCAAAGCTGTTAAAGTGGAGGTAAATTTACTGCTACAAAGTGCAACCTCTTTCAGGGAGGTGAAAATTCTCTCTGTGTCTCGTTCTGTGTCTGTTCTCTCTACAAATAGCGTTCTTTGATTCGTTTGGAATCGCTGACAATTATAGCTAGGAGAGGCAAACTAGCTTTGTTCACATTGGAATGGGACCGAGTTGGACCGCCATTGGCATCTTGCGTTCTAGCACTAAATCAAGGGTCCTGACCTCGCGTGAACTTAGAGTAAACCACAGGAGATCTTCTGAACTACTTACTCTTAGCAAATTTCATCTTGCTGCTATTTTAGGGTTATCGGACGCAAGGTGTTCAAAATGTATGGAGGAGGGAGAGGTGTAAATATATAGGTACTATTTCCTCCATTGTCCAGCCTTGCCAAAGCTGGGAGTTCTCGATAGTCTTACCTGCGACAAACCAGGAAACATATCCAAAACTTACATTAGACGTCTCAAAAAATTTGTGACAGGATCAAAGCGCTTCGTYGATTTGTAAYGTCGTCATGGTTTGTTATATAMACACATTGGGTAACACAAYGCACGGCRTTCTACCGGAGACCTTAAGAATGCTTTTAATTAACTTAAGTTCTTTTAATTTAATCTAAAATTATTAACAGTTTCTGAATTAGTATTCAAAATTTATCTTTTTCCAAAATATAAAGAAACATCGCACACACACATAAAACATACATATCTTTCATAACTCAGTTGTCCTCTCTCCTCTTTGCTTAAGAATCCCTGCATTGTCTTGAGTTTAGTGAGTTACTGCCATCGATCTGAAATTTTCCGTACGTTCATTTTTGCCCAAAAATATGTTCACTATAGTATATAGCTGGTATACAAACCGAACGATGGGAATCAAGTTCTTGTATGGAAAGCCTTTTCATTTGACGATCATTAATTTCTTTAAGGCCGGTACAAAATTACATAGTTTCCTCCCCAAAATTCCACTCTGGATCCGCCCCTGATAGCATATAACTGCCATACAAACCAAACAATCGGAATGAAGTTCTTTAAGAAATTTTTTGCATTCGCTTTTAATTCGAAAAGTAATCTGTCACTTTTTTTGAATCACTGAAATATGATTGGAAGTCTGTTAAATACCTACATTAAGCAAATGTTTTCAATTATTTAACTTGAAATACACTCAAAGAAGATTGGGAAGTTGTTCGGGAAACTTGAACAGCTACATTCCATAATTTATGGAATTGCAAATCTTTCGAAAGAAAAGCGGTAGGTGGTAGTAAATAGCATATACGCGCCTAAATGTATACTTATGCCACCATTTCCGCCGACTCCAACACACACACACACACAGCTACTTTAGCTAAGGACATTGTACAAATGACTGTCTGTCTAACACCGCGACTGTGCTTTCGTGTGTGTGTTTGCACATGCGTGTCTGATTATATGCTCTTGCGCCTAAATGTATGCGTCCAGCTCGTACATTTATCACAGAATTTATCGACTGGAATGAGCTTTGATGATGTGGAAATTTTTTCTCGTTAAATTCAAACTTTTCTACCGCCGCATAACGGTACAGTCGCAAGTAGTAACGGGAGCGAGACGGCAACAGGCAGGTAACAATAATATTTACTTCCTCTAAGAGCTTTAACGGTGTTTACACACTTATAGTTGTGAGTGTATTGCTGAACTTAAAGGCCGCACTCGTCGTAGCATGCAACTTGTCTTGGCGCAGCGGCTTGCTAGACACTTGCAGGAGTTATGCTTGCCACCAATGGCATGTGGCATGAACCGCCGCTGTGATTTGTGTGCTGCCCGGSTAGTTTTCATATGTKTGTATGTGACTTTTAGTAGAGTTCTCTTAAAAATTTACAAGCAAACGCCATTTCTACCGTCGCGGTGCAATCGATTGCATTCGATTCAATCGCTGAGCTGCTGTGTGCGGTTGGTGGCAGCTTGCAACATGCCCGCAAAGTATTCGCAGCGTTGCATTTAATGAGATTATGGCTTTCAAAAAAAATTAAATATTTATTTCAAACCTGAGCAAAGAGTGAAGTAAATGTTGCTAAAATTTATTTGAGGTAAAGTTGAAATTCGGTTCTTTAGCCGTGCAAAGTGCCAAGCTCAAAATGCATAATTGAAGACCTCCCAGGGGCGGCTTAAAGGGTTTTGCATATCTTTAAGCCAGCAGCTGCAAACATTTCCAGATAATTTATTTAAAAGGTGTGACTAGTGGGAAAGAGAATCTGTTTATGGAGGTGCATGTAGCTTCGGTGCTAATAACGGGTGACTTCAGTAGAGGTATCTTGTCGAATAGCCTTTCTTGAAAGCTCAAGTCGCTTCTGGCGAAATTTAAAATTCAACTACATTATTTTTATCTAGCCTCAAAAAGTACTGTATATGACAGCGTGTGAGCCATCGATATTTTGTGGAAATACTAATAATAATTTAAAATTTTTAGAAGAACTGGGAAAACCCATACCTGACAAATGAAATCGCAAACCGCCATTAAGCCGGACCTTATCTTAAGTAGTACGCAAAAACTGGTGAACTTCCCAATTTGAGAACTCATTATAGCTAGCATCCGAAATCCGATTTCGCTGCAAAATATTAGTAAAGTCTGAGCAATGCAAACACTCTCTCTCACTAAGCCTTAGAGCTGAGTTGTCAAATCCAACCGAAATTTCTCTGCTATATAAAACTGAGTATCTAGAACTTCAGAAAGCCATCGCTGTTAAAAACCCAAATTTCAGTATTGATTCTAGGAGGACCAAGTTTTCCGAGATAAACGACTTATTTATTATTTAGTGTATCACTCTAACTGTTCAGACTATATTGTCACCTGAAATGCAAAATAACGTATCATCAAAAAATTCGAAATTGAGTGTCTTATTGATTACTCTTCACTACTTCAAATTACATACATAATATTACATATGTTCAACATTTTCAGGTTCTGCACCCAGATATAAACCAGTTTTAACCAATATTAAATTTGTTTCACTCATGTTCCATTTTATGTCGTGTTTCATTCATGCTACTGTAAATTCCGAAAATGTTGTTAAGTTATTTTGCATTTCAGGTGACGATATGAAGCCTTCAACTTCCAAAAATCGGGATTGTAGATTTCAATTACCAGCTTAAACAATGTCTTGAACATAGGTCGAGTGTATCTATTTTTACGAGTTTTATTGACGAATATTTTGTTGGAATTAAGGAAGCGAAGGGGATACAGAAAAGAACTTTTAGAAGATTTCTGTCGCGAAACTCACCTCAGAATCTTGAAATTATAGCGAACTTCAAATGTCCCCCAAAATGAAATAAAATTCACTGTTTTCTAATAAAACTAGAATTTTTATTTATTCGTTAAGTGTGTTTTTTGTTTTTCTGGATAGAATTATCATCATCAATCCAAATAAAACAAAATTAATAACGGCGTCTGTAAACGCGACGGCGGACAGTCTTGTAACGGTAACCATCTTCGGCGTGATGTTCGATTTGCTCAGTTGGAGCAATTGGAGCGGGGGCAACATATTGCACTGGTGCTGGAGCTGGAGCAGGAGCTGGAGCTGGAATGTATACTGGAGATGGAACATGAACTGGAGCGGGAGCTGGAGCTGGGGCTGGGACATGTACAGGAGCTGGAGCTGGGGCATGGAATTGCACTGGAGCTGGGGCTGGAACATGAACTGGAGCTGGTGCTGGGACTGAGACTGGTGCTGGTGCTGGAGCTGGAGCTGGGAGGTAAACTTGAGATGGGACATGCACTGGCGCTGGAGCAGGGGCTGGGACATGTACTGGAGCTGGAGCTGGAGCCGGGGCATGGAAATGAACTGGAGCTGGAGCTGGGACATAGACTGGAGCTGGGACATGGACTGGAGCTGGGACATGGACTGGAGCTGGTACATGAACTGGAGCTGGTGCTGGTGCTGGTGGCACGTAGGTGCGATCAGGTTGGGCAACTGGTGCAGGGGCTGGTGCTGGGACATTGAATGACACAGGTGCGGGTTCTTGATAGCTGTAGCCCAACTCAGAGACATCAGCACTGGTGCAAGCCAGGATGGCGGCAAAAGCGACGAGCAAGAATTTCTGTTAACAATAGGGAAAGAAGGAGTTAGACATATTATTTAGAAAAATAATGCGATTCAGCCTATTTTCAAAATTTATGAAAAACACAATAGAAATGCATTGAAAATCTAATGTTTTCATTTTTTACAATCTTTTTCAGTAAAAATTTCAGAGTCGCGGTAATTTTGAATAGTTTTAAATTTAGTTTTTCTTATTATTGGCTTAAACGAAGGGATGCATTGTTCTTTTTTTTTTGTGTGAGTAATTCGATTTATTATTTATTTATTTATTTAGTCTTTTTAAGTACACAACTATATGTTAAATTTAAACTATAACTTCTTTAAAAGAAATTTCGGAGTAATTCGGAGTAAACAACTTTTATCTGTTAACAATTTTTTTGCTTGATAATTTTGTATTTACTTAAATTAGGCATATATTTTTTCGGAGTAATTCGGAGTTTTAAAAATTTTATTTAACTATATTTTTATTATGTTTGTAAAATTGTCTAATGACTTTTTAACAAATGACAACAATATACACAAACTCCGAATTTTTCGAAATTACAGACATTAAGCATTCCAAAAACTTCAAATTTATTCAAACGTTTTTATAACGTTTTTACATTAAAATTTACAACTACTTCACAAATTAGTCATAACTGTGCGTAATTTTTCTGCACAGTTTAATACACCTTTATATTGCTGCATTACTTATATACTCTACTTTCACTTCATTTTTTCACTATTATTTCAAGAAAAGATTGTATTACTATTTTATTATTTCGTTACAAAATTTATTTACCATTTTGTAATATGTTCAGCTAACTCCGTTCACGGTATGTAAGCGTTTGATAACCACATCGCCAAGTACTAGACTTTTATAGTCCCTACCACGCACACCCAGCCAATTTTTAACTGTTCTCTTTATTCCAATCATTAGCTTAAGATACGGAATATTATTTTACTATCAAGAAATTTTCGAAAGCAAACCAGTTTGAAGGTCTAATATTACAAAAATAATGACTACAATAATATCTGCACGTTTTTATGGAACCGGTATTGCCTAAACTATCCATAAGAGGAGCTAAATTTAAGTTAGAATTTAAATAAAAAGGAAATATTTTACAATAAAAGATACGAATTTATAATGAACTTAAAACTGTATAGAAAAAATACACGAAAAAGTAAAACACAAAAATAAAATCTCTAAAACTTTGTAAAAAAAAAAAAACTATAAAAACCCAAACATAGGCGTTGATAAATTGTCTACTTAGAGCTCTAAAGTTATTATTATAAACGTAAACGTCTAAAACACACAGCAGTTTCTAAAAAAACAGTGACCCAAAACGTAGCGTCAGCATAAAATACAAATTAAAATTCACAAAAATTAGCCAAGCTCCTTCTACGCGCAGTTCATTCAACTGCCCGCGCCCTTACACCGCTAGCTGACTTAAGTTATGCTTAGCTTTGGTTAATTTTTCGTTTTCTCCCGCAAGCTGAGCTAAAAAAAATAGTTAACTTTGGTTAAAATTTTTAACAGATATTTATTTAAGTTTATGTTAATTTTCACAAAAAACGTCCAGCTGGAGATTTTATAGTCTACGCAAATTACATAATGGAATTAATGCGACAAATTAGCATAGTTCTATTCAACGTCAGTTATTATAATATCTTCTATTCTCTCCGCCAATAACTATTATTAAATAGTTTGCTAAATCATTTTCTTTTTTTTTGTGAAATTCAATTTTCAAAATTAGCTTCGGCGCCACTAAATATCTGGAAAACACGTTGCTACTTGACCTTGGCCTCTCAATCATAAGCAAAATTTGACAATTAAGTAGTCAAAGTTATTTGCAATCAATCATCGCTTTACTTGCACGCTATGTTTTCTCGTAATATGTATTTACTTCCAAGAACTTCGACAAATAAAAGTAAAGTGTAAACAAGTCTTAAAAAAATATTATTATTAATTTTTTTTCAATATTTCTTTATTTATTAGATCTCTAGATGAAAGTCTAATAATAAGTTATAAAATCTTAAATCTATTTAAAAATTAGACAAGCTCAAGCAAGTTATTGAGCTGCTTTAGTGATACGTTGCTCTTTAGAACGCTGGTATATCTCTTCTTTTTAGGCGTGTTTGATCGAAGGAATATACTAAAGCATCAGCCAATAGGCTTGGATGATCTCGGAGTTCAGATATATATTTCATTCTAGTGTCCTCTGTTTATTTCCTTTCCATAGGAATAAAAAGATTTTTATGGATATTTTCATTTTTAATAAAATTCTTTATTCCTGTGAAAGTATGGAGCTCAATTTCCTTTGCACGGTCACCACGGGCACGCCTGTAGAAG